GGGGGGACAGTGTAGAGGGAGTTTTACTCTGTATCTAACCCTGTGCTGTTCCTATCCTGGGAGTGTTTGATGGGGGGACAGTGTAGAGGGAGCTTTACTCTTAATCTAACCCTGTGCTGTCCCTGTCCCTGGGAGTGTTTGATGGGGACAGTGTAGAGGGAGCTTTACTCTGTGTCCTACCCCGATCTGTCCCTGTCCTGGGAGTATTTGATATGGGGACAGTGTAGAGGGAGCTTTACTCTGTATCTAACCCCGTGCTGTCCCTGTCCTGGGAATGTTTGATGTGGGGACAGTGTAGAGGGAGCTTTACTCTCTATCTAACCCCGTTCTATGACTCCTGCAGGTTTTTGAACATTGACACTCCGTTGTCCCTAAGTTTTGTGATCGACACCAGTTGGGAAACGTCAGATTATCTGCGGGATATCCAAGGGAGAATCATTTCCATCATCAACAACATCGTTGGGACGTCTCACAGACCTTCCTTCTATGTCGCTGTGCCCTTCAATGAGACAAGTTAGTAAGGACTAACCTAGAGCAGAGCAGGATGAAGCAAATGTGTCTGACACTAACTCCATGGGACAGAGAGTTACAAAGTACATCAGAGAGCCACAATGTGACTGTGAAATCTGTTATTCTAGTGTCTGTCTGGGTCACACAGAGAGGGTGAGACAAAGAGAGAGATTGAGAGAGAAAGAGAGACACAGAGAAACAGAGACAGAGAGAAAGAGGCAGTGAGAGGAAAACAGAGGCAGACAGATAGACTGGGCGAGAGAGAGAGATCGAGACGGTGAGATTGAGTGCCAGAGACAGAGAGAAAAACAGAGCCAGGTAGAGTGAGATAGAGCGGGAGGGAGAGATAAAGTGTGAATTAGAGACTGACAGATAGAGACAGAGAGGCTGGGAGTAAAAGACAGACAGAGACAGACACAGAGAGAGAGAACAGAGAGAGAGTGTATGAGAAAGTGAGAGACAGAGACAGACAGAGTGAGAGAGAATGTGAGAAACAGAGAGAGCAATGAGAGGGGCAGAGAAGGAGGGGAAGAGAGAGAGAAACACAAAGAGTGCGAGAGAGACAGAGACAGAGGGAGAGACAGAAAGAGCGAGAGAGAGAGAGAAGACAGAGCGAGAGACAGAGAGAGGGAGCAAGACAGACAGAGAGAGAGAGAAAGAGAAAGATATGGGAAGATTC